TTGAGTGTTACTTAAGTTGGTGTAAACTGTTGGCTTACAATTGTTTTGGTTCAGGTAAATTGGGCTCTATCCAAGGGAAAATATGTCGTGCACCCAGGCTGGTAAGGATCTTTTCGCCATCGTCCTTCCACATACCTCTGGTTTTGGTACCTCTTTCTGATGGCTTCCATTCTCAATGCACACAGGGTTGAAGCGTCAGCTTTGCTATACAGGAGAGCGAACGAACAAGATTTCGCGATTAAAACATGACCAATGTCCTAAATAACCTGACCTGGTAATTTGCACCGGTTGAACAAAGAAAACATTTAAAATCAGTTTTGGACATAAAATTGGGAGGAGAACCGTGTCATCGGAACTGTGGAGGGAAACGAAAAGGTTGTGAAGGGAAGCTGGCAGAATGCATGGGTTGATTTGGGAGATGCAGCTCTTGGGAGAGCATAGTATGCCGCTTGCTGATAAGCAAGTCTGTCGTAAGTACTTGTGGAGCTATGGACACCGGTTTAGTGCAAAACAAGGGACCATTTTTAATGGTAGTTAAGCTACGCGGAGAAGATGGGCCGGTGGACTGGTTGGGGGCCGGCCAGGGGGATTGTGTGTAGGGGTATTCGTCGACCCATTGGTGCGGTGTAGGCCGAGCTTTTGAGGGCAGTTGCAGCTCGGCGGAGGGATGGGAGTTGTGGCTGGTGGTAACATTTCCTGTGAAACTATTTAAGGTGCCGCGGCGGCGGCGGCGGCCAACGGTAAGTACATATACATGGAAGTTTGCGGCGGCGGCATTTGGTCGACCGGGGAAAGAGAAGGTGGCGTGGTGGTTTCTTGTTTTCTGATTTGGGCCTTGGTTTTGGTGTTCCTCTGTTTCTGTCCCTCCTCATTTCCCCGCTGATTATTGATTACTTCATCTGGAGGTCCTATCCCTAACAAGTAACAACAACAAATGAAATGGCTAAACACACTAATAGCGAGTCTCACCACATGGCTCGTTTGAAATGAAAGAAAAGACAATGGAAGTTGAATTTACTAATTACTAGGGACGCTTAATGAAAATGTTGTCCTTTACCTACCGGTGAAAAACAAATACAACTGCAGAAGTGGACGATTGGCCGAACATGATTTCGTTACAACCACACTCCTATGAAGTTCACTCCTTACTAATATTAATCTCTTGATTAGTCATCTAATAACATGCATTTATGGTAATGTTGGCCTTGAATGAATAAAGACGATGGAAGTTGAATTTACTAATTACTAGGGACGCTTGATGAAAATGTTGACCTTTACCTACCGGTGAAAAACAAATACAACTGCAGAAGTGGACGATTGGCCGAACATGATTTCGTTACAACCACACTCCTATGAAGTTCAGTAGTTCACTCCTTACTAATATTAATCTCTTGATTAGTCATCTAATAACATGCATATATGGTAATGTTGGCTCTTGAATGAATAATGATGTAGAATAATTGTTGATATATAAAAGCCAATAGTGTCAGGTTTTTTTTTTGTTTACAATAGCTTTAGGGTTACTATCAGTGTTATTAAAGCCGAGCCGCTCGGCCCGACCGGTAAAACCATCACCTGGTCACAAAATCGGCTCGGAATAGTCTAAAAGCCGCTTCGGTTATATGTAGCGGTTGAAAAGCGGCCGAGGCGGTTAACCGTTCGAGTCGATTGAGCCGCTCGTCCGGTTTTTGCCACTCAGTCACTAAATTTAATTAAAAAAAATTGCATAAAATTGAAAATTGAAATAAACCAAAAACGTCGGCCTCTTAAATTGAATCCTTATTTCCATTTCACAATTTCGAAGGAAAGAGATGAGCTCTAATTAAGAAATGTCCACTATTTATACTGATAACGTTTATTAGGTACCGGTTCTTTAACCTTCTAATATCGGTTGGACCACTAAAGTGCGAGTCGTTCGCATTACCGGGTCATGCTCCGGTTCGGTTCTGACAACATTGGTTACTGTTGGGTATATACATAGGCAGACCATTGGGGGACATGGGCCCGTCCAAGAGGCTCAGACCCAAAACCACTTTAGGATATGGGGATGAAAACAAGGAGTAAGGCCCAGCCAACGGCCCACAGGCGCATGGCGACAAAAAGGGACCACCGTGCTTAGAGCGTGCCACCTGGACAGGTGGTCCCTGCAGGCGCCAGGAGCCAGGAGCCCAGAAGCGGCCACGTGGAGGCGCCCGACCGTTGGGCCGTACCAAGCATTTAATGACGCGCTGACATGGAGCTGGATTCTAGGAGCCTGGTCGAGGCCTCGACGAGTATAAATAGTACTCGGTAGGTAGCATTTACGCAGGTTGGTTTCTCTCACTAAAGTCCCCAAAGTACTTCTCTCTCTAAACTAGGGACTGACTTGAGCGTTGGAGTGCTAACGGCCATCCCGAAGCCCTTAGGCGTCTATCTGTGCAGGATCTGGGCATCTGTAGGGAGGTCCATCATACGGAAGTTCGAAGGAGCTGGTCTGAGAGTTGCGTGGCTTCAACAATTGGCGCGCCAGGAAGGGGGGCGCCCATGGAAAACGTTAATGACGTGAACGGCGGGGAAGACAACTCGAGGTCGGGAAACTCGAATCAGGAGGAAGATGAGCGCCGCGAAGTCACGAGGTAAGCATGGACGTGGGGGAACAGGAGAGCCCTGGGCGCCTATCAGTAGACGAGGGAGATTCTTTAACGAAGAGGGAGTTGTTTCGAATCATAGCTGATCAAGATCGGGCCATAGCGGCGCTCAGGAGAGAATTGGAAGGGGAGCGAAGTGAAGACATGATGATGTACAGCCCCGGATGGAGGAAGCGAGACAGGGTGGGGGAAGATTATGTATCCCAGCAACATGGACTACCACACCAAACCGAACAGGAGCATGCTACGCCCGGACGTCCGCGCGCCTGGAGACTGCCTGTCGAGCACAATCAGGCGGAACCTGAAGACGTGTGGGCGCCTAGGAGAGTAGCCAGGAGGTTCGGCGTCCGTCAACCCCTAGCCCGAAATATCCTAATGGAGCCCGCGGGAACGACGATCCCACCATTGCCCAGTTATGATGGGATGGCCGACCCAGAAGATCATCTGAACAGCTACTTCACAAAAATGCAACTATACAATAGCTCAGACGCGACGTTGTGTAAGGTGTTCCCATCCACATTTGTCGGGGTGGTCCTGGATTGGTATCATCAGGTTGAGGAAGGGCGCATAGAGTGTTTTGAACAATTCGCCGAGTTATTCTTGTCCAAGTTCGCAAGTCGGAAGCGCCGTACATTGACCATAGGCGCATTGTTCAAGGTGAGGCAAAGGGAAGGAGAGGCGCTCAGAGAGTTCTACGATCGATGGATCTCAGTCGCCATGGCGGTTAAAGATTTTCAACCCGCGGTACTAGGGGTTTGTCTGGATGCGTGCACCTCCAGCGAAGAACTCTGCTGAGTCCTTTCGAAGCGGGATGTGGTCTCCACTGAGGACTTGGATCGGAGGGTGCAAAAGGTGATCATGCTAGAGGAGACGTTGGCAGCAAGGAGGGCCGAGAAGAGGCGCCTAAGGGGCAATGAGATGGAGATGAGGCAGGCGCCTAGGCCCATGTCGGGAAGTTTTGCTCCGCAGAGAAGGCTGGAGGCGCCGCGCCCTGTACCGCGGAGTGCCGCGAATTTTACGGAATACAATGACACCCTTAAGAACGTGCTGCAATATGTGAAGGATAGGGGCTACCATATACGGTGGCCGGGGCCCATGCGCGGCCAGCCCAACGAGAAAAACCTTGACAGATACTGCGACTTCTATCGTTCTAGCGCCGACCGATCGGAGCAAACTATGTCCACCTTGTGCTTCGGAGGTTGAAGCCACTTCTTCATTCCCTCGGGCACCTCGGCGTCCTCAGACAGGCGCATCCGTTTGCCCGAGCCTTGCTGGGCACCCTCTGCCTTCCTCTTCTTTCTAAGAGTTAAAGGCTCGTTGTCTTCGGGATCATCGGCTCCCTCGAGCAGGTCTACTACGGGCGCCTGCACATCTGCCGGATCGGTAACTGGAGGCGCATCCCAAGTAGATAACAGATCCCCTAAAGGCTCCGACGCCTGAGGGCTCGGAATCTTCGTGGGCTGAACTTTCTTCGGGGATTTCACCCTTCTGCTTGGGCGCCCCTGCCCCTTGCTAGTAACAGGGACAAACTTCTCCTTTTCAGTCGGGGCATCCCGCGCTGGCTTGGAGCCGGCGCCTTTGGAGGAAGTCGGTTTAGCAGCGCCGCCGGACTTCTTGCCGCCTTTCTTGGCAGTAGGCGCCTGCTTGGCCACCAATCCAAGTTGCGCGAACCGCGACTTCATCAGTAGACCCATGGAACCGAAGTTGGAGCCTGCAGAAAAAAAAATGGTTGGTTAGATTTAAAAAAAAAAAAAACTAGGCGCACACCATCATTGTAATACTCCTCCAAGACAGGCGCCCGGGAGCTGGTGGGGCAAAGGTTAACTGGGTATAAAGAAAGGAGTCGGGCGCCTTCAATCTCCGCAGCGGTGGAAAGGGTCACATCAACATTAAAGGGCTCATGACTGCCCATTACCCAACCCCTGGTGAAGGAGGTGCCACTTTCATAAAAGGAATCCTTGTGCGCCTTCACGAAGAAATAACTCCTAAACCACTCCCTCCCTAACTTAGGACAATCTATTAGAAAATGGTCGGGGAGACCTAGGCGCCTCTGCAGTGATAGGCAATTATCGGAATACACCATGTTGAAGAAATAATGGAATAGGTTGAAGGTGGGCTCGACGTTATGCTGGCGACACTTCAACTTAAATAAAATATGTATAAGGAAAACGGAGGGGGACAGGCGCCCAAGCGAACATCCACAAGTAGTCAGAATTCCTTCGAGGATAGAATCAAGGGGGAATCGGAGTCCGAAACGAAAGTACTCCCTGTAGATGCCAAGCCATCGAGGTCCGACTACTCCAATACGGGCCATACTGGGGGCAGGCGCATAGGACCAAGAGCGCGGAAGTTGCATTGACACGGCGATATTCTCTAACTCCAAGGATTTTATTGTTGAAATTTTACGTGGCCCCCCTTCATGAAGCGGGAGATGGTGTGTTTCGTCAGGCGCTTGTCCCGACGGCCAGGTATCTACCCATCTCTTAAGCTTAAGGGAATCACCCCCATCGGCGTCCGAGTCCGAAGACGGTGGAGACATCGTCGGTCCGGAAGAATGTGATGATCCGGGCGAGGCGCTATAAGGGTTGATGCAAAGGTGGTATCAATTCTAAAGACTACAGGCGCCGGCCCTAAAAAAAAAAAAAAATCGGGTTGTTACTTACTTGGTTGGGAATTCGAGGGCGCCGATTGGTCACTAGCAGGGTTTGCAGGGGGCTTCGAGGGAGGCTTCGAGGGAGGCGCCGCCGCGCCCTTGTCCGCAGTGTCACGTGTAGACGTGGCCTGAGAGCTGATTGGTGTAGCGTCTGAGGGAGCGTCGCTCTTGCTAGACGCTTGAGACCTGGCGCGAGGAGTCCAGGCGCCCTTCTCACGGAGCGGGTCAGGAGAGAAGTGCCCCTCCAACTCCTGTAAAACATCGGGTTCCGAGGGCTTATCTTTCGGCGGGATGGTTGAGGGGGCGCCCGAGCCGGATTTGTTCGACATTGTGAGGAAGCAAGACGGGGATGGGAGGCGCACAGGCAGCTCGACCTAGAGAGAGAAAGTCGGAGCAAGGTAGAGAGAGAGAGGATTCGTGCGAATGAAGAGGGGAGGAGGCGGAATGTGGTATTTATATGAGGAGGAGGCCAACGGACATCTACGGGGATGCGCGCCCGACCCCCCAGATCTCATCCTCACCGTCCGTTTAAATTTTGAATTTCAAAAAAAAAAAAAAAAAATTTGAAATTCAAATTTCAAAACGCACGGAGAGGGGGGCATACGGGTACGGGCGCACCAGGGATTACTCTACTAGGGCGCCTAACTCAATGGCCTAGGCGCCTCCTTGGGTACGTCCAAACGCGGATGAAAAACAAAGGACGAGGGAGCCATAGTACGGGGGGACAAGGGTTGTTCACGAAAACGCTCAGGAAAGCGCCTAGAAATGATCTAAGCGGTTAAAGCGACCAAGCTCTCGTCGAACTATCGAGGGCGCCCAGACCACCGAGAAGTCGGTTAGACACTATGGGCAGGGGAGTTACATACAGTTAGACACTCATGGCATACCATGAGCGCCTAACTGGGGGACAATTGTTGGGTATATACATAGGCAGACCATTGGGGGACATGGGCCCGTCCAAGAGGCTCAGACCCAAAACCACTTTAGGAGATGGGGATGAAAACAAGGAGTAAGGCCCAGCCAACGGCCCACAGGCGCATGGCGACAAAAAGGGACCACCGTGCTTAGAGCGTGCCACCTGGACAGGTGGTCCCTGCAGGCGCCAGGAGCCAGGAGCCCAGAAGCGGCCACGTGGAGGCGCCCGACCGTTGGGCCGTACCAAGCATTTAATGACGCGCTGACGTGGAGCTGGATTCTAGGAGCCTGGTCGAGGCCTCGACGAGTATAAATAGTACTCGGTAGGTAGCATTTACGCAGGTTGGTTTCTCTCACTAAAGTCCCCAAAGTACTTCTCTCTCTAAACTAGGGACTGACTTGAGCGTTGGAGTGCTAACGGGCATCCCGAAGCCCTTAGGCGTCTATCTGTGCAGGATCTGGGCGTCTGTAGGGAGGTCCATCATACGGAAGTTCGAAGGAGCTGGTCTGAGAGTTGCGTGGCTTCAACAGTTACTATTCATTGAAGGGTGCTTTTTAAAAAATTTCATCCAAAGTCACATATTTGCATAATTTTTAGTTATTTTGCAAATTTTCCTTGGTGGATAAATATTTATCTCAATTTTCTTTTCTTCTAATCATATCTGGCCGATAAGAACCTATTAGTAATTCTATTTTTTATTTGTTTTATTTTATCATTTTGTTTTTGCTATTCTTAAATCGACATCTTTGTTTGTATTTGATTCACATTTAGATGATATGTTTTCCATTTCCGAATTCATGTTTATTGGCAGTTTTCTTTGTTTTTTGTATTATTCAAATCACATGTATTTGAATCATGTGTATATCTGTGAAACATTTTTCATTTTAGAATTCTTATATATGGACTATCTTTGTGAGTTTTCTTACTATTCAACTAGAGGTCGTCTAATCACGTGTACCTCAATCACAATTCACGTGTTTTGGCAATCCATTTTGAATCCTTATCGATTGACAATCTTGTGAGTTTTCTAATGATTCAAGTAATCTTTTTTTGTTTTTGCATGGTCATATTTTTTAATATGAGGTATAATTGGCCATCGAGTCCAATTTACTCTCATAGGCAAGTTTATAAGTGTAGTATTTTAATGAGAATTCGACTCAGTAGCTTCACCCTGGTGTTATATGCGGTTGAACATACATTTTCTTGAACCGCTATTATGTTATATTATTTCATTTACCGATCCACACCATTGAAGATTGTATGACTTTTTAATTTTTGTTTAGTATATTATTTCATATTTCAAAAAATACAAATTTTAAGGCTTAATTGCAAGTTTGGTCACTCGAATTGCTATAAAATTTCACGTTTGCCACTCAAATTAATTTATTCCATTTATAGTCACTCGAATTAGTTGAACAGATCAAGTTTGGTCACTCTCCGTTAACTTTGACTGATGTGGCGGTCAACTCTAACAGTTGACCGTTAAATGTGTGACATGGCAAATAAAAAATAATTAAAAAATAAAAATTATATTTTTAGAAATTACACATCATTATAAAAAAATTATAATTATAAAAAATAAAAAAAGAAATTATCACAAAAAGGGGAAAAGTATTCCCTTTTGCACAAGACCACATAAACGAAGTCAATCTCTCTGCCTGCACAAAATTATGGAGGAAGGAGGAGGATCTGCTTCTGGACTAGGCGGCCCATCTAAACAGGTTGATGACGATGTCGGTGGTGATCTTCTGGCCGTGCTGAACGAGAACTCGGCGGCGCTTCCCGGCGAAGGCGAGCAGCACCATCACGGTGATCCAAGTGACCATGACGGCCCTGCTGGCGACGACGACAACCAAGGAGGCGAAGATGAAGCCGACGGCGAGGACGAGGGAGCTGTGTACATTCGGGGAGTAGGCAGCAGCAGCGACGATCACGATGACAGCGGAGACAGCGAATACTACGATGGAGCAGAGCAGCACGAAGCTTGAAAGTAGATAAGCACAAAGTACTGGAAATTTTGAGTAAGCAAATAATCGAACGTTCGATAAACGAACTTTGCAACCGACTCTTATTATGAATAGCGCAATTGGTTGATTTTGTTGTTATTGAACATCCCGAAAAAAAACAGGGGCGGCGGCGACTTACCTGAGGTTCTTGCCGTACGTGAAGAAGAACTACGACTACGGAGTCGTCATCTTCCTCCTCACCTTCAATCTCATCACCGTCTCCAGCTTCCGAGTCAGCAACGTCATGAGGATCGCCCACGAGCGGTTCGTCACGATCGCGATCGGCTGCGGGATCTGCCTGTTCATGAGCTTGTTGGTCTTCCCAATTTGGTCGGGGCAGGATCTCCACAACTCCACCGTCAATAAGCTTCAAGGCCTCGCCAATTCCATCTAAGGATTCGCCAGCACTCTGTCATGACGATGTGATAATTTCATTTTTTCATTTTTAATAATTATAATTTTTTTATAATGATGTGTAATCTAAAAATTTAATTTTTATTTTATAATTATTTTTTATTTGCCACGTCACACAGTTAACGGTCAACTGTCAGAGTTGACCACCACGTCAGTCAAAGTTAACGGAGAGTTACCAAACTTGATATGTTCAACTAATTCGAGTGACTATAAATGGAATAAATTAATGTGAGTGGAAAACGTGAAATTTTATAGCAATTCGAGTGACCAAATTTGCAATTAAGCCCAAATTTTAATAACATAAGAATTGAACATTGCGGGCGGTGCACAGAGATTAGACCTAGTTGTCATTAATCCTCCAATAATATATAGTAGAGTTTTGTGAACTTTTCTCCATTTCAAATTTCCTGCAACGAGAGTGAAAGTAGGAAGAACATTTTTGTCTTTACAAATTAATTATTTACTTCATATAAAAATATCAAAATCAAGATTTGAACTCGGGTCTTTTCAAACAAAGATAGCAATCATAAACAACTTCTTATGGTCCAACTCACTAATCAAATTTTGATAATGTTTTAGAATTAGTTAGAAATTGAGCTTTCATGCAACACTCTAGGAGTTTGGTGTGTTGAACTTGGAGTAGAAGAGTTGGGATTGAGTATGAGAATGGAAGTGGAGGGGGAAGAAAAAATTAAGGCAGAGAAGAGGGAGTTGCTGAGGGTAGTGATCGAATTGAGGAGGGTATTGAAAGCAGAAGCAAAACTAGAGCAGTTGAAGAGAGAGAAGTGAGAGATGAAGAGGATATTAATGAAAATGGAGATGGTATTGAAGGGCATGGAAGTGTACTGAAGTAGGTGAAGACAGACAAGGGGGGAGATGAGCATATTGATGGAATTGGAGATGAGTTTTGATTTTAGCGAACTTATTAAAACTGCCCCTGAGGAAGATGAGTTGGCAAAACACATGAAGAGGATTGAGGAGTTGAAGAGCGAGTTGATAAGAACCCCAATTGGAAGAGAAATTGAGGGTCGTAGAGAGAAGGTCCATCAAAGTAGCAGTATTGGAGTTGCAGAAGGAAGATTAGAAAGTGAATGTTTGGTTGAAACATATGCTTCTTGAGATTGAAGATAAAGTAGAAAAAATTTGGTCGTTCAATGGAGAGTGGTGGCTATTGGATCTTTAGGTTTATGGTTTTTGCAGCTACCACAACATATTTCTATCTTAAAACGAGGAATCATTTATTGATTTAATGAAGTAGGTCGATTCTTTTCTCAACCTACTTGAACTGATAGATAAGGAGTGTCTAATTATGCGTCTTATTATTTTGATCGAGTCTATTAGTATATTGGAGGTAACCTAATTTTGCCGTTTGCTCTCAAGTTTTGATGGTTTCCTCTTAGCTAAAAGTTGTTAGTATATAGTTGACTTGAACCTACAACACTCAATTTCTTTTTGATTAGTGGCATATTGCCCCCAAAATGAGAGCATTGAACCATTTATGTAGGATTGTGAGGTTTTAGATTCAGTTTCAAACTATCTATGGGTCGTGTGGGAATTCCAGTGAGCCTTTATACTCTATCTTTCTTAACAATTAACTAACTAATAAAATTTTAATTGAGCTTAATTATCATTATGAAAATGGGATCAATGATACATTTTTATATTTTATATTCTCAAATGATGATGATATTTCTCTGAATGTTCGACCTATATATTTATTCTTCATGTATCATCTCGATCGAAAGATTGTCAATAAAATTAAACACGTTGATAGACTTTAACGTAACATAAAAAATATATAAAATCAAACATAAACATTCCGACCAACGGGCCGGGTTATAAGCTAGTAATAAAAAAGAGTAAAGGAGTGAAGCTTTGGTAACAAGTTTCCGCGAGTTTTGGGGAATGTTTGCTTGCTTCCCAAAGTGGCAACTCCGAAGAACCAAACCCCAAGAAACGATGGATGACCAATGAAGGGGTTTTATGGTTTGGGCTGCCAATTCGGGAATGGACGCGCGGCGTAAAAAAATGATGGTATTAGTGTGATAGTAGTTAATCACGTCATTAATTCAGTAATCAAGACATGGAAGCTTGAAGAATTAGAAAAGGCAACTTGCACCAGACGTTGGTTGTGCTTCCATTCATGCCGGTCAGTCTGTTTAAAGATTGTTTTGCTAATTGAGAAGGCCACTCCACTCCACTCCCTTTTGGTTCGCGTGTCTGTGTCTGCTCTGTCCCTTTTGTTGCTTTGCTTTCGGCTTTGGGTTCTGACCATTGGCTTAACACTAACAGTGAGAGAGACCATTGGATCGAGTAGGAAATTAATGTCCATTAATTGTTCTCTGTCTCATTGCCCCGGTGTACGGCTGCTCATTGCTCAATCCATATGACGGAAGGAAAAGGTGACGACGCTGCTGCTGCTGCTGCTGATCACTCGGCCGACGGCCACAGCCATGATCATCCTCCTCGATCCTCAGCGTCATTCCAATTCCAAATGGCTTCAAGATGCTCTCTCAGGTCCCCCTTCCCGCACTAATTAATGAAACCTTCTCTGTGTACTTCATCATCATCAAGCGCTTGTCCACCCGAATCGAGTCCTTGGTGGAGGAGAATGATGCCCTCAAGTCAAGACGAGGCTCATCATGGGCATGGCGTCTCCTCCTAGTAATTCAACGTTCAAGGAATTACTCTTCTTCTTCAGCTACTTGTTGTATGTCCAGGGGATTGATCAAGTCCCTCACCTGCATTGGCAACACCACCACCACCCAAATTTAGCTGCATTTCTATCTTCTTCCTCCTGCTGCTCATTTTTTCTTTTTGTTTCACAACTACTACTAGTTTGTGGAATAAGTTGATAAACTCAATGTTGTTAGAACCGAACCGGAGCATGACCCGGTAATGCGAATGATTCGTATTTTAGTGGTCCAACCGACATAAGACCGTTTAAAAATCGTTAGAGAATCAGTACCTAATAAACGTTATCAGTATAAATAGTGTACATTTCTTAATCATAGCTCGTCTCTTTCCTTCAAAATTGTGAAATGAAAATAAGGATTCAGTTTGAGAGCCCGGCATTTTTGGTTTATTTCAATTTTTAATTTTCTGCAACTTTTTTAATTAAATTTAACGGCTGAATGGCAAAAACCAGACGAGCGGCTCGATTGGCTCGAGCGATTAACCGCCTTGGCCGCTCGTCAACCGCTACATAAAATCGGAGCGGCTTTTAGACTGTTCCGAACCAATTTTATGACCGGCTGGAGGTTTTACCGGTCGGGCCGAGCGGCTCGGCTCGACTTTAATAACACTGCTATTTTCTCTTAGACCAACTTTAGTGGTGGGCTGGAATTCCAAAAAATTGGACCAGACCCACATTAGACCATCTTTAGTGATTAGATCCAAAAGTCCAAAATTTGAGGCTATAATTCAAATTCTAGCCCCTCAAAAGATATTTTGGCATTAGTAGTGTGTTCCAAAAGTCCAAATTTCCAGATTTGCGCTTTAACTCATAATCCAGTTTTGTATATATTTCATCATTCTAATTACAAAATTTTTTCATTAATTTTATATAGGTACTAATAATTAATTAAGACGAACATTTCGACAAAATTTTTTTTTGAATTCCGACCAAAAAAATTATTTGTAAATATGACTTAATTAATGACGGTCTCTTGTTTGGACCGAAAGAGCCGTTGGAGGAGATTGTGAGTACTAAAAGGTAAAGTTATTTCTTTTTTTTTATTATTATTAAAGCTCTTTTTGGCAGGTGAGCCCGTCTGCTTTTCCCCCATGTGGCCACACTATTTTTTGGAACTTTTTGTCCTTTTCTGGGCCAAATTTGGACCCAATTTTTGGATCAATTGGAACTTTTGGCCTTTTAAAACCTTACTAAAGTGGTTCTGATCCAATTTTTTGGAATTCCTGCTCACCACTAAAGTTGGTCTTAGTAAGGTTCCAAAAGGTCAAAAGTTCCAATTGATCCAAAAATTGGGTCCAAATTTGACCCCTAGAAAAGGACAAAAAGTTCCAAAAGATAGTGTCACATGGGGGAAGAGCAGACTGGCTCACCTGCCAAAAAGAGCTTTAATAATAATATAAAAGAAATAACTTTACTTTTTAGTACTCACAATCTCCTCCAACGGCTCTTTCGGTCCAAACAAGAGATCGTCATTAATTAAGTCATATTTACAAATAATTTTTTTTGGTCGGAATTCAAAAAAAATTTGTCAAAATGTTCGTTTTAATTAATTATTAGTACCTATATAAAATTAATGAACAAATTTTGTAATTAGAATGATGAAATATATACAAAACTGGATTATGAGTTAAAGCGCAAATCTGGAAATTTCGACTTTTGGAACACACTACTAATTAGGGATGGCAACAAAACCGAACCCACGGGTACCCACCCGACCCAACCCGGTCAACGTGGGTAAAACCCGTGTTGACGGGTTTTGGGCCGGGTTTGGGTTTAAACCCGCTACACTATTCACCTGGTCGGGTTGGGTTTGGGTTTAGGTAAACCCGCCCCATGGGTACCCCGCTCACAAACATATAATTAATTTCCCGGTATATTTAATATTCTAAATAATATATCTTCCTTAAACAACTAATATTCTATATGTTTGGGGAGACATATATAATTTGTTCTTTCTAATTGTTTAGAATGAAGTTGATATTATGAAGTGGAGAGTGAAGAAACTTAGTTGACGAGGAAGAAGCTTTCAATTAATCTTATTGTTTATACATGTTTATCTTTAATTTTAAACAATTTGTATTGATCATTTGCGGTTTGTTTGTATGCTCTAGATTGGTGTTTTTTGTATGATTAATTTGTATGAGAAAATTGATGTTAAACTTTTATTTTGAAAGAAACTTGTTATTGTAATTTTCCCCACAAAAACCCATGGGTACCCATGAACCCGCGGATACCCAACGGGATTTACCCCGGGTTTTTTTGGCGGATAAACCCATGGGTTTGGGTTTGACAAAACCCGCCCCAACCCGACCCATTGCCATCCCTACTACTAATGCCAAAACACCTTTTGAGGGGCTAGAATTTGAATTATAGCCTCAAATTTCGGACTTTTGGATCTAATCACTAAGACTAATTCCAACCCAAAAGGTTATATTTAGCCTCTCAAATGTGCATTTTTACCTTCCAAAAACACTTTTTTGCTCCAACCCTAAACCTTCTAAATTTACCTTCCCAACTCATAACCAACCAATCAAAAATTAAGAAAGTAAAAAAAAAAAGATGCTTTAAAGTGGAGGGCCCCAGCGTGTGGGCTTGGGTTCCATGGTTGGTCCCCTCACCTTCTCCTTGCATTTTTTCATATGAGCTTCTATTTATCCACCCCAAACCCATTTCTCCAAATTTGCAAGCCAAATAATTGGTGGGTTGGAGATGAAAAAAGCTAAAAACCTCTCTTTCTCCAAATTTACATGCTTGGGTTGAAGACCATCTAAAGATGGTCTTATGGAGTTGTCCTTCTATGGAAGGGATACATAGTTTGGTGACTAAATTGATATTTAATCCCAAGTCACCATTAACTCGCAGCTCCCAACTGAACTGCCGACTCTCCTCTCCTCTCATCCTCCCTTCCCTCTCACACTTCTTCACTTGACTTCAGTCTTCACACACACACAGCAGCAGCAGCAGAGCACCGCCACTGCGCAACGTGCTCGACTTCTTTCCCCTTTTGTTTTGTTTGTTTGCTTGGATTGATTCTCCTCCATTTTTGTCGGCATCGCCACGAAGATCTAGCTCCTTATCTCAGCACGCCCCATCCCCCACTGGCCCACTTGCTTCTATTCTACTTTCCCAAGCCTCAACTATGAACCGGAGCAGGACGCAGAGTCCCGTCTACGCCCGCCAATGGGGCTCCGACTCCGGTGCCGGCGTTTCTCCCGTAATGTCGCCGTCCCGTATCCCTCACCACGCCCGCTCCTCCTCTGCTTCCTCCGGCCTCTCCACCATCAAGCGCAACCAGAACTTCGCCGCCAAAGCCGCCGCCCAGCGCCTCGCCCAGGTCATGGCTTCCCAGACTGCCGACGACGATGACGACGACCCAGACGACCTCGATTTCCGTTACAGCGCTCCCCCTCCCCTCTCTATTTCCCGCACTTCTGCTGCTTCCAATCTTACTGCTCACCCTGCTCCCAGGATCGCCAGATCCCCTTCCCCTGCTGTAAATCCCCCCGCCATTTCTCTTCTTTTAGACGCTACAATCGATACATTCTCTTTGCTTCCTGACTGAATTGGTACAAAATGTGTGAATTGTGGACAATGCTCGATTTGGGATGACTAGCTGAGTTCATCCCCCTACTCCACTTTCAGTTAATTACTTAATATAGTTTGGCGTGTCTGTAGCTAGTAGTTTTCAGTTGAATGCCTGCCGTTCTGGTAATCAGTTGAATTAGAAAAAAACGGAGAACAGGAAGACGATGATAATGATGATTATGAGCATTCGTAAACTTTTTCCGATTTTGGGTCTGTTATGTAATGATGCAGATTCCCCGCAACATTGCAGAGGAAACTCCCTCAGTTCGCTCCACGTCGGCTGGAAGGTCGGCGACGTCACTGCGAGCAGCAGCACCGCCGGTTCCGCCCAGTAAAGAGTCATTGAGAACGGCGGTCTCCTTACCTCCACCTCTGGAGCCGCCTAAAAATGGCTTTAGGGACAGAAAGAGGTATGATTTTTAAGAAGCTTTCAGTTAAGAACAATTTTCTATTTTTCTGTTTGATTAAGTAGCCACTATTAGTGACATTTTCTTCGATAGTTTTAATTAGAACAAGATAAACTTGATACTGCGTAGTGAATCGGTTTTAAGTTTCCTTTTATGGGATGGAATTCACTGCAGATTTTCATCTGATGAAGTGCTTTTCAACTCAAAAGATTCCGGTGACCAGCGAGAGTCGTCTGCACTCCGTGATGAAGTAAGTGTGCCTTGTGACACTTCCTATTTGTATGTGACGTTGGATCACTGTTTAATCAAAACTGTTCTCACTGGATTCACTCGTTTTGCAGCTCGATATGCTACAAGAAGAGAATGAAAGCATGGTTGAGAAGGTGCATCATCTTTCCGTTTTGTTTTTTTTTAGCATCAGTGTGATTGTAGGCTGTATAGCATGTCCATGAAGATCTGAGATTGGTTTACAGCTGCGATTTGAGGAGGAGAGATGCCAAGAAGCGGAGGACAGAGTCAGGGAGCTCGAGAAGCAGGTGATTGATTGCTTCATTAAGTATCTTTTAGATAGAATGAATGCCTTTCGATTCCCTCTTTTCACGGTTTTTGATTGTTTGTCTTTCCCCCCTTGGTGCTTAGGTTGCTGCTCTTGGAGAGGGAGTATCTTTGGAAGCGAAACTGATGAGCAGGTGAATTGATTTTCTGTCTTGTTGTTTCTTCTGGTTCTCTTACTATTCCTTCAAATTAATTTGATATATCTTCCAATCATATATACAGGAAGGAAGCTGCTTTGCGTCAAAGAGAGGTACTTTGTTTTCTCTATTAACTTTATTTGACCATATAATTTCACCATTTAAGCACCCGAGATTGTTTTTGGCCAATCTATGTGTTGAATTGGTGGTTTGAAGCACTATGGAAGATATTTATTGCTAATGATCACCTAAATGTTGCTTCAGAAGGAATCTGAGACAGAAATCAGGTTTATTTAAGGTTTTATTTTGTCCGCCCTTCAGGCTGCTCTTAAGGATGCAAAGCAGAATGCAGTGGATAAGGAAATTGCGACCGTTAGGACTGAAATTCAAGTGAGTATACAACCATGGCCCTTTATCGCCTTATTCCTGTATGCATGCCGATGGCAATCTGTTAACCTTTTCTTGGTATAATGATCAGACTGCAAAAGATGAGGCGTCAGTTGTACTCAGACAACTGCATGGAGCTGAATCTGAAGTAAAAGCCCTTCGTTCAATGACACAAAGAGTGGTTTTGACTCAGAAAGAAATGGTCTGTCCAGAGAATAATTTATTGCAATAGTGTCTTATATAAACCCCCACCAATAAGTATTATACACTAGAATTCAAATTTCAGGAAGAAGTTGTTCTTAAGCGGTGTTGGCTTGCTCGTTACTGGGGCTTAGCTGCAAAATATGGTATCTGTGCGGATGTTGCTGTGCCGAAGCATGAATACTGGTCCTCTTTAGCACCTCTTCCATTTGAAATTGTTCTTTCTGCTGGACAAAAAGCCAAGGAGGAATGCTGGGACAAAGGTTACTATTCAACTCCACCATCTTGTGACTAATCACTGAACTGTATCATCCAGATTTATCTTAATGATTGTCAAGTTCTCATTTTGATAGGTGGTGATTATGGTGAGAAGGAGAAGAGAAGCAAACTAGCTCCAGACCTGAGCGACCTAACTGGTGAAGGAAATATCGAGAGCATGCTGTCCGTGGAAATGGGATTGAAAGAGCTTGCTTCCTTGAAGGTATCTCTTGCTTACCATCACCTTAATTTATCATCCAATAGACTCATTGTTTACCATCTTAAATTACCTATATCACATACTTTAGAATTTGAAGAAGGCATTTGATCGGTGATTGATTGTATATTTATCTGTGTGAATTACAAAAGGTTGAGGAAGCTATAGTGCTTGCGTTGGCACAGCAACGGCGTGCGAATTCTGTTCGCCAATCAATCACAGGCATGTGCTTTTTGCTTTGTTCTTCTTCTCTGTTTTGTTCATATCAAAACATGGGGAACTATTTCCATTAAAATCTCCTTCAGTAAATTGTACTACTGACTGATAGAATGTGCAACAATTCAGAACACACTTGGTATTTGGACCAAATTGGAACATATATAATGTATTTCAATCTGAAATTGTATTGAAAATGCATCTTGTCTTGACAATGGTCCTCAACTTTTGATTCTGGTCCTTTGCTAAATTGCTCCAATTATGGATGTGATCAGACAAGACCATGCTCACACCTAATGAGTAATGACTAACTGCTTTAGTTTTTTTTTTTTTTTTTTGCTGCGTTTAGAGCTCAAATCACCCGGTGACCCAAAATACATGGAGGCATTTGGTAAGCATATTTGGGAACCATCAGCGCTCAACGTTATGTTCCATGCAGGAGAGTCTGAGTTGAGTCATATTGTCATTTGCCTTTCCACCTCTTTCTTTGGCAGAACTTAGTCCTGAAGAGTCTGAAGATGTCCTTTTCAAGGAGGCTTGGCTGACGTACTTCTGGGGGAGAGCTAAAGCAAACGGAGTGGAGGAGGAGATTGCAAAAGAGCGGCTTCAGTCCTGGATCAACCGGAGCAGGCACTCACCGAGTTCATACGATGCTGTCGATGGTATGTAACTAAGCGAACCGGGTTGAATATGTGTGTCTCCTTTCGGGGTCTCTTCCTAGTCGGGTTGGCTCGATGTTTAGTGGAGGGGTAAATGGTGCGTGTAATTTTGCAGTGGAGCAAGGTCTGATGGAGCTGAGGAAGTTGGGGTTGGAGTATCGGCTATGGGAAGCATCGCGAAGAGAGATAGAGGATCTTGACAACTCTTCACGGAGATAGCCAAAGCAAGGCCAAAGGAAAGAAGCTATAGTGTGTCTATAAAAGTTCGTTGTTTCTATTCCTTCTTGTTTCGGCTGAAGATAGTAGCTATCAGCCTATCAGTGTGTATTACAATTGACGGTAAGTAGTATTTTAATCCACGTCGAAGATATAGTGATCAGTAACTAGTATTTTAATCATGCACAACCCTTCATTCCCGTTTCCAGCTGATCACATTCATGAATCATAATGGTCTTGGCTCTATGCCTTGGGTTAAATTTGGATCACTGGACACTTTTATTAGCCATGTCAGCAAAAATCTGACATCAAACATTGACGAAAGATAATGCAGAGTGACTAAACTTAAATTGTTTAGCTAAGTTTACAGATCGTTTGGTACTAAATGAATCGAGAATTCATTTCATTGTAAAATGAATTACCGTGTAGAATTAATTGTCAAATGAAATCTTGCGTTTGGTACGTCATATTCAAATAAAATGAATTGTCATGTAGAATTTATTGTCAAATGAATTCATGTGTTTGGTATGTATATGTATAAGTGATTTAGTTAATAAAAGAGGATAATTATGCCATTCTATTATAATTAGTAAGTACTTGTGGAATTCATTTGAAAATTCCATCTCAATTCTTCGGAATTGCTATAACTAGTTCCAATTCCATAGAATTTAAAATTTAGAATTGGAAATGAATTCTTTCAAATACCAAACACAAAAATGTTACATTTCAGAATGAATTTTTCAAAACTTATGAAATTCATTTATACCAAACAGTATGTTAGTGATATAAATGAAACTAAATATTTACCAAAAATGAATTTTTTTAATAATCTAAATCCTTCCTTTACACTTGACACCAAAGGAATAAAATGTAAGCCCAATGAAAATGTTTTGACTCTTAAGAGCCCAATATTCAATATTTTGGATCAGGGCCGGGTTTAGTTAAGTAGGCAAATAAATCCTCCCCGTCGCACTAGGTCCAGGATGCCGTCTGACCTGAGTGGCCTGGCCGCCGAATCGAGCTACCGGAACTACCAGACTCGGCGACGACATGGCGGAGATGTTCTTCACCGGTGGCAAGGCACCGATGGAAACGGGAAGCCGCCCTTCAAGTAACAACATTACGCTTCTTTCGGGGCCTCCAACCTGGTATCGGAATTCTCTGGCCCCACTCTCTCTGTCTCTCTACTTCTCTGGCTTCCTTGCTTTATTCAGTTGATCGTGGCATTGCAGTGGGAAGACGTCTTTGCTCTTCCAGTTTGCAATCAATTCCGCCTTGAGCTGCAGCGACCGCAAGGTTGTATTCATATGCAGTCGCCGCCGGATGGAAAGCAATCCCCCTCATCTCTCTCAGGTACTTGACTTCCTCCTCTTCAGTTCGCCCTATATTGCCTTTTGCGGGCCAGCTGAAATGTGGCGGTTGCAGGGCATTGATCCATCTTCTGACGTCTTCGATCGCATTCAAATGAAGTAATTACCCAATTCTCTTCTTTGTCCGTTGATTCATTCCATTATTGTCGTTCATATAGTCAGTCGTCTGCTGGCTGGCCTTTTAATTTCTCCCGCTAAGGTATGTCGAGGATGATGAAGACATCAAGAGATACTTGGCTGCCTTCCACCTGCTCGACGCATTTCCTGCCGCAGTGGTTATCGACGACTTCGGAGATTTCCTTGATGAAAGGTATATTGACATGTTTAAAGATCCTGTCGTTTCTGCTCCAATTCCTGCTTGTTGGATGGATTGCAGCTAACTTCATTTGGGTGACAACACACCAGGGTTTGTCAGGAGAGATACAGCAACGCTCGGGGAAGAGACTTGGCAATGGCGAAGATCTTGGCTCTCGCCCACAACGCATTATCACTCGCCAAGTGAGTTATTGAGTTCTTTCACCAAGTAGTTGATTTGCAGCAGCTGTCTTGTGTAATTTTCTGTGATTGAAATTTGAATGATTGCGTTGGATTTTGTAGCGAGAAGGGGCGGTGCGAGTTTGTCATATCTGATACCCACCATGGTGAATCCCCAAGATTGCTCTTCATCTACAAGCGATGGGTTTCCTCCATTTTTACTGTCAAAGGTCTGATCTTTTGTTTCGAAGCATATTGTTGAATTGTGTTTTCTCGCACACACTCTCCCCATTCTAAACTTGCTTGGTTTGGTTGTAGCTGATGGGAGAGGATGGTTTCTTCTGACAAGCAGCGATGGTGGGATAAGTTCAGGAAGGACTACTGCTAAATACTCCATAATGCTTCAGTACCTGTGTTTGGAAGGCATGATAACCGAGGATGACGAGAGTCAACAGCAGTAATCATCTCTCTTGAGGGTTTGGTTTAGTTAGAATGTCCATCTTCAATCTAAGCTGTTGATACTTGCTGCTAACATATAAAGATTAAGGAGCAAAAGGAAGATAAAACTATTTTCTTGTGTTGTTATAACTTATGAATGAATGGATGAGGTAAGGTAAGGTATCAAATCTTCTGGGTTTGGAGTTCATTGGAAGACCATAAGGACATTTTGTATCTGCTCAAATCAAACAAAACAAATGAGCACGGCCATAGACTGTAGCAGTACATACATGGTCCAGGAAGATCTTTTTTGCACATTGGGAATATGGATGCTACATCCCAACCAACTCAAAATGCCATATCAATTATCAAGAACCCCAGCCTCTTTACTCCCAGAAAATAAGAACCCCACCCTCTCTCGTTAATAATAGCCTCGCACCAACTTGAGATTAGATGAGATGAGCCAGAGCTTTGGTTGATTCCATTTGAAAAGAGAGCGAAAGGCCAATTATGCTTTCACACACACTTGTAGATAACCCATAACGTTAATTGAAAAGTGAAAGGCAGGAATGCGGAAAAGGGATCATTTTTAGAGATAAAAAGTTGGGTCCAAAAGTAAAAGGACAGACAGACAGCTAAACCACCATCATTAGCAGAGAACAACAGCATCAACATAATTCCTTCCTTCCATAATGCTCTGCCTTTTGCCAATTGCTGGCCTCCACATAATTCATCTCATGAAATGAAACCCCATCTTCCTCCTTCTCCTTCTTCCAGTAGCAGTTACTGGTTACTGACTTACTGTTACTCTGTTAGTACCCTAACTTCCTTCCGTGTATTTGGTTGGTTATAAACGCTAGCAACCCTTCATACTCACACCATGAACACAATACTCAGAAGCAATGGGGGGATTAGTACGAAAGAGTTACCAACTTGAACTAACTAATTATCTATCACACAAATGTCTCCTTCAAAAACTGTGCAACTGCGACAGCATGAGAACAAGCTCGTCGCTGGACGGCCTATCTTGAGGCAAATCCGAGAGGCAAACCACGGCAATCCTTACTGCCATTAGCATCTCATCTTCCTCCCCTTCTTCCCCTATGATACTCTTGTCCAGCGCTTCTTTTGCCTCCCCAGCTTGCTGCAAGTGCCGCAACCAACACCCTAAGCTCCCTCCCGTCGCTTCTCCTTCCCCGAAGAACGGATCTTTGGGGTCCCTCCCCGTCAATAGAACCGCCATTATCATCCCAAAGCTGAATATGTCACTCTTATCCGTATACCTGAAACAGGGTCCGAGCAAGCTTTCAACTTCACCAGTCCACAGATTAAAAAGTTTCACATCGACACTAAAAGTTGCTACTTAGTTTGTTCATACCTGCAATTCTGGAAGCACTCGGGGGCGTTGTAGCCAGAGGAAGCACGATCCAAATTGGGGAGGAGGCCAGAGAGGCCACAATCGGTCAGCCTAGGTTCGAACTCGGCATCGAGAATCACGTTGGTGGGCTTCAAGTCGAAATGCAGAATCTGCGGGGCGCATTCGAAGTGCAGATACCGAAGCGCCTTGACGATTCCAAGAGCTACATGGAGCCGAACCTCCCAGCTCAGCTGGAGCTGGCTCTGCCTCACTCTGTCCATGGCGTCCTGGAGGCTCCCCGTGGGGACGTAGTCGTAGACCAGAGAGAACCTATCGGGCTCCCGAATGTAAGCGCGGAGGCTCATGAGGTTGCGGTGCCTCAACCCGGCGAGCAATTCGAGCTGGTGCTGCGTCTCCCGCTTGAGGGAGGACTTGGACAGAGACTCAGGGGAACCGCCGCCGATGTCGAAGGGGTTTAGGCGTTTGAGGGCGAGGGGGAGGGTTTCGTCGAGGAGGAGTTTGTGGTAGTTTCCGTTGGAGCTGGAACCCAGAAGCGGGAGCTCTTGGTGGAGGGAGGAAAGGAGGGATTTGGGTTGGATTTTGGGGGAGAAGACGACGGGTCCTTTGAGGATTGGGGTGCGGTTGATGTAGCAGAAGAGGAAGCGGAGCAGGGATGCGAGGAGGAACGCGGCGGCTAGGCCGGTGGCGATGCCGAGGGAGATGCTGATGAGGAGTCGCCGGAAGTAGTTGTCGTTGGTGGTGTGGTGGCGGTGGGAGGGCTGTTGGGGTTGGGTGGAGGATGCGGTGGTGATGAGTAGAAGGAGAGGTAAGAGCAGAGAGATTGGAGAATGGCGAGGCCAAGCCATTTGGAGAAGAGAGTGGGAGAAAAAGAATTACTCACTCACTCACTCGGGAAGACTACATTAGCGGTATGATAATGTGGCCACTTGAGTTAAGGGAATCGAATTCCAAAACAGCTTGAGAGGGAAGATTATTGGGAGGAAGGGAAAGGAAGAATCAATTCGCAGGTTTTGCCGGGAAAATGGGAACTTTATTTTCTCCCCTTCCTCCACAGTTTTGAAGCGGCAGAGCTTGAAACTAGCAGCTGTGGTAAAGGGAGATAATGAAGGAAGGAAAAGGAAAACAGAAGAGAGAAGGGAATTTCAATTTCTTAGAGCTTGTAGCTACAGGGAGGAGAGGAAACTCAGAAAATAAGGGAATGGAAGTGGGGGAAGTCACCTTGTTGTTGTTGGTAGGCGAGGAGGAGGAAGGGTATGGGGGGAGATTCAGGTTTCCGCCATTGGAGAGGCTGAGCGTGAGTAGGTGGGTTCCCGCCTTTGGTTTTGAGAAGGGATGTCTCTGCGACTGCGAGCGAATACAACCAAAACAGCACAAGGGAGAGTGAGAAAGGAAGAAGAAGGGAGAGGGAGGGAGGGAGGGAGGGAAAAATGGAGAAATGGAGCCCGCAGAGAGAGGGAGGGAAACAAGAAAGTGTGGGGGCCGATGTCCACGTAAGCACCCAAGCCAAGAAAACACACAACATCCTTTGCATCACGAGGAGAGGAAGAGAAAGAGAAAGTAAAGGGGGGAAAGGAAAAAAGAGAAGACTCGTCTCGACAATCAATCAAATCAAACAAACCCCTCCCGCAGCACAACCTGCTACTACTTCGATCTCTGTGCCCCTGTCCTCTGAATATTGTTTTTTTCTTCTTCTTTTTCATATGAAGCAAGATGAGAGAGAGAGAGAGAGAGAGAGAGAGAGAGAGAGAGAGAAATGGGAAAACAAAGGAACTAGTAAGGCACGCTATAATAGGGTGAGGCGGTAAGGGCATGGGCCACCTCTCAACCTTTTCCCGCTTCGTTGTTTAGCTAGCTAGTTTCTTTCGTATTGCTAATATTGGGTCGTTAGTAAGTTGCGATTGTTATGTATTGTTATAACTTATAAATGTATGTATAATTAATTGATTAATAGTGTAAGTATTGTACACTAATCCTCGTGAAATTATCTCGGCAATTTTATTGTTCATTGTGTTGTGCTTTGCTGCGGCCGAACCCTCCAAAATCATCGGTCCTCTTTTCCATTTCCTTTGAGCATTTTTTATCAACCATTATCCCGGTCCTCCTTTTATTCTTCTTTGAGCATTTTTTTATCACCCATTATTGTCATAATCATCAAGTTCACGCTATCATTTAGCCAAGCAAACCGATAGATCGATAAGTAATTTCAAAGGTATAAAACAGTTGAATCACAGTTAAATCATGGTTTCAACATAGAATACTCTAATATTGTTTTTTTCCGGTATAAACTTTAGTACAATTTTGCAATCCTTGATTTAGAGAAGGATAGATATTTCTTATATGAATTTTTTGGTATAACCGCTGGTACAATTTAAAAATCTTTCATTCATAGAAGGATTGATATTTCCTATGTCGGTTCTATCGTACCTTGATTAAAATCAAACGTACGACATACCTTGAGTAAGAAACTGTTATCTAAACCTTGAATTGACCGAATTTTGACATATGGTATTATTCTCAAAACCTTAAAGATTAAAATCTAGGTTTTGATTCTATAAATATCATACACTAAGATCAATTTAATTAGAAACATAAATCGACGGTCATGATTAGATTATATATGCAAAAAAGTACATGCACAATCTTAGGGGTTAGGCTCTATGATTTAGAACACTAAGACATAAGGTTCACTCATCAAGGGTTAGAGTATAGTACCATGCCCAAAAATCCTGTTAATTCGAGGTCTAGATAGCATTTCCTTACTCAACGTATATCGTACCCTTTATTTTACTCAAGGTACGATAGAAGCCACCTTCATATGTCTAAACAAACCAATATATGCAATAGTATCAGTTAGAACGAACCAAATTTCTTTATTTTTAACTTAATTGTTTACTTTCTCATCAATTTGTTTTACACAAAGGTTCTGCAGTGGTGGTTATTTTTTATATAAAAATAACTACCATTCCATAAATTACAAATACATTACGTAAAATTTATAGAGTGATAATTATTTCATATGTATTAATTAAAAACACAATTTTTATTTCTTAGACCGAAAATTACTTTTTTATTAACTAAATGATTAACCATCTCATCAATTTGTATAAAGCAAAAATTTTCAAAGTTAAATTATTTTTTACATAGTAATTTAATCAAATATGATAATTTTTGTCACTTAACTAATTATTATTAACAAAATGACCCTCATTATTAACAAAATATCAACATTTTTTTTATGAATGGTAAGATGTATTTTATCAAAAGACTGTACTTTTATGGCAATAGCCCTTGCCATTAGACCATTACTACAATTATAACACTATTTCTAACTCTAAGCCAAGATGGAAGTCAAGCAGAGCAACAAGATCCCATTCACAAGAACTTTTCCATATCATCAGCAGCACACATCACTTCCAGATCGGATTTCACCCTTTTCTTCACTTTATCCAAGCTCAATATTGGTTTTCCATGCTTTGCATTGCACCTGTCACGCCAAATGCCACTAAGTAAAGATTGCCATAGAAGTCTCCCAACTCTGCAAGTTGCACTAGGGCCTGAAAAAGCAGTCACAGCCAATTGTAACTCTGCTTCCCAACTGTTTGATGGGGACCTGCTGGTGAACTTTGAAAACAAACAGAAGTAAAGGTCTTTATATCTGTTACATTCAGCAAATAAGTGATTAAGAGATTCAACTGCAGCATCACAAAAGGCACATTTGAAGCTCCCCTGATATCCCCAGCTCAAGAGTTTATCCCCTATAGTGAGATACCCTTTGATGATTAACCAACAAAGAAATTGATCTCTTGGAATTGCAGGTTGACTCCAAATCATCTTGTACCAGTTCACAACAGGAAGCTTTGGTCGACAAAACTCCCATACTAGCTTTAGTGGGAACGTCTTCTGCACCATTCCATCCCAAGACCCAACTCCATTTATAACAGAAAGATGCCCCTGAACCTGCCCCCTGCATTTCAGTATTCTCAACCAGATCCAAGAGCCAGTTTTACCAGTTGCAGTCCAGAAATTAATATGATGCAATCTATACATTGTCACCCATGCAACCCAAAGAGAACCTCCCTGCATCAGGAGATCCCAGATATGTCTTACCACAAAAGCACGATTCCAGCTTACTAGATTTCTGATACCCAGCCCACCTTCTTTCCTAGGGAAACAGATTTTACTCCACTCTACATTTGCTCTAAGTTTACCTTCAGAGCCAACCCCCATAAGAAATTACTGCAGAGTTGTTCAATTTCCTTAATCACTCTCTTAGGAAGAACAAAAATAACCATCTAGAATTGGACTAAACTATAAAGAACAGACATCACCAGTTGAAGCTTCCCAGCATAGCTCAAAATCTTGGCCCCCCAATTTTGAATTCTACTTAGCAGTTTATCAATCAAAGGCCTACAAGCTTTGACAGTGAGTTTGTTTGAAATCAAAGGAACCCCCAAGTATCTGACTGGAAGGGAACCAAGTTTATACCAGCATAAGCAGCCATACTCTCTTTCCACTCTTGAGGTAACCCCCACAATATAACTCACATTTAGAAGGATTAGACTTACGCCATGACAATATTCTAAAATCAGACATGACTCTCTGAATGCATTGAAGACCAAAGTTTGACCCATCAGAGAATAACAACAGGTCATCAGCAAATATTAAGTGAGTTAATCCAACCCTTTTACACATAGGGTGAAAAGGCAATCTATTTTCTGAGACTGCTTCTTCCATAAGGCAACTAAAAACTTCCATTGCCACAACAAATAAGTAAGGGGAAAGTGGATCCCCTTGACACAGGCCTTTTTTAGCAGCAAAATACCCTACCACCCCTCCATTGAAACCAACACTTAGCCTAGGGGTAGTAATACACATAGAGATCCATTTTAAGAATAAACTAGGGAACCCCATAGCTTCTAACACGGACAGAAGGAATTGTCAGTCAACTGAATCAAAAGCCTTCATCAAATCAACTTTTACAATGCAACGAGGGGATATATTCTTCCAATTATATTTCTGCACAAGCTCATGGGCCAACATAATGTTTTCACCAATGACTCTACCTTTAACAAAAGCAGTCTGGTTATTGCTAATCACATGGGGAAGGCAATCACTTAGCCTAATTGCAATTATTTTTGCAATGCACTTATATAAGATGTTGGAGCAAGAGATTGGCCTAAAAAATTTCATCTCCTCTGGGTTCGTAGTCTTAGGAATAAGAACTAATATAGTGGAGTTTACCTCATTTGGGAAAGATGAATGAGCAAAACAATATTGAACTGCGTCCACCACTTCATCTCCAACAATGTGCCACGCCACATGGAAGAAGCAGGCTGAGAAACCATCAAGGCTAGGGCTTTTCTCCCCTTTGAATCCAAACATAACACTTTTAATTTCTTCAGCTGTTACAGGTTTGCACAACTCCTGAATCTGAGAGCATTGAAGTTTCCTCCTCAATAACTTTCTGAAAAATTCCACTGGCTTGCTCTGAACTAACTCATCTTTAGTCCCTAGAAGCTTTTCGTAGAAGGCCACTGATATCTTACACATTGAGTCAGTATCATTAACCCTCTCACCATCATCATTCAACAATGATCTAATAGTATTCCTCTGCTGTCTGACTTTGACTGAACGACGAAAGAAAGGGGAATTAGAGTCATCCTCTTTAACCCAAATCTCTCTTGATTTCTGTCTCAAGAAAGATTCTTCATCAAGCTTTAACTGCCTGAGTTCATTACCCTTAACCAACTCTGCCTCAAAAGTCTCACTTGAAGGATTAGAAAGAGCATCCATCTGAGCATACATCAATTCAGATTCCTTCATTTTCACCCTCTCCCAAATATCATAATAGACTTCCTTATTTAGTGTTTTGAGAAGCTTCTTAAGAATCCTCAACTTCTTACAAATCCTAGACAGGGGAGACCCCGAGACATCAGAATGCCATGCCTCTTTCACAATGTCTAAAAAAGACAGATGAGTAACCCAAAATTTGAAGAATCTGAAAGGCTTTGGCAGAGATTTAAGAGAACTATCAGTATCCAAATAAACTGGACAATGATCTGATACAGAAGGGTCAAGCAGCTCAACTGCACTATTAGAAAGTCTACCTAACCATTCAAGATTGACAAACATTCTATCAAGCCTTCGTGCAATAGGGTTTTGTGACTGCTTGTTTATCCAAGTAAACCAAGGACCTGCTGATTTGTGTTCAATAATCTCAGGCTGATCTTGCCAATTTTTGAAGTCCTCCATACTACTATTAAAAGCAGGGTTATTGGATGCCTCACTAGGGTCATTAATAGCATTAAAATCTCCCATAATGGCCCAAGGTAACTGAGAAACCTTTAGCTTGATCAAGTCTCCATACAATCTCCTTCTATCCACCTCTTCATTTGAAGCATAAACAAAGGTAGCAAAGAAGGGAATACCTGAACCTACCAACACATGGATGAACTGATCTGACTGATCAAGAATAGTAAGCTGGACATCCTGCCTCCAAAGAAGCCATATCTTCCCCAAACCTGATGTACTATTTGCCACCTCACTTTCCCACCCTGGAAATCTCTTGTGAATTGTAACACCCTACCCTATACGTTTTGCCTAATCATATTGTTCATACAATTGCAGCGGAATTAATCTCGGGTGTTACATTAAATATCAAAATTTACCTAAATAAAATTTCGACATGAATTACTCGCATAATGGGCTAACAGTTCTTGCAACCTTATCCTGCAAAATAACTCATCACAAACATATGCATTGGCTTTTCTTATCCATAGTCACACTTTTCATACTCCACAACTGCATACCATACTTATACATATCATAGTCGTCATAACTTACACAACCACATAAATATACACATATAATCAACTTTCCACGCCTGTGGATATCTCACACTACA